CTCTTGGATAATATTTGCCATCTATGTTTATATGATATTTAATACCAGGGTTGTAGAAACAAGAATAGTCATTTATAGTTCGTCTGAACAGTACAAACATAGTATCTGCATGTTTCATTGCAGTTGTTAAAGCAATATCTGTTCTTGCACCTGGGTCAGCACTTTGGTTTCCAACTTCACCTGCAAAGTCTTTGACAGATATTTGGTGTATAGGGAACATAAGTGGAACTGCAATATATTTGGCAGCTAAAGCATTTGAAATATCTGGGTCCAACATATAAACTGCAAGTCTGCTTTCTATTCTCTTGCATTCAAACTGTTCGCATGTAAACTTAACTGGGTCCCAAGCAGTTCCAGCAGCATTGAAATAATAGTTTACTTCAGTGTTGAGGTTTGAGAAACCAAAGTCTAAGTCAACTTTGTCTTTGCAAAAGTCGGCGAATGACGTTTTATTTGTTCCCTTTACGTCTGTAAGAGTGAATGGGTCTTGTGTTGGTGCAATGACTAAGTTATTTTTGCTTGGAGTAAGTTCAATAGAAATTTTTCCTGCCCAGTTTGGCAAGTATCTTAAAAACCTGAAGATGAGGAAAGATGACAAAGGAACTCTAAGTTTCAGTTTTACTTTAGTGGCAGCATTTCCATCTGAACCAGAAAGGTTAACATAAACTCCTGGAACGTTAGGGTCAAGTCTTCTTATTTTCTCAATAGTTGCATACTGGTCTGTTTGTTCTCTAGCTTGTGGTTGTACTGAGTTTCTCAAAGCGAACCATTCATAGTTTGCCCATGTTACTGTTTGAACTAAGTCAGAGTTAGAATATATCTTATATCCCATGAAAACTTCTGGAGCATATTGGTATCCGACATAGAAAATTCCATTGCAACCTTTCTTGTCAGACAACTTGGCAGAAGGTTTTATTTCAATGTCTTGTTCCACGTATAAGAATGAGTTGTCAATAGAAATAATATGAAACCTGTCGCAAGCAATATCTACTGTTGTTGAAGAACCTTCTCCAAACTCACCTACGTTTCCATAAGAAACAGCAGTTGTATATTCGTAAGTTCCAGGAACTATTTCTGACCTTCTAATGGCATTGTCGCATTCGTTATACATTCGGAAACATTTCCGTTCATGGCATCCAAAACTGTTGGCGTAATATTCTGAGCGGCGTACATTTCATATGGGTAAAAATATAGAATAGTTGGATTTATATGTCATAATTGTTTCGTACCAAGCTTTACTTTCTTCCTGACTGAGTTTTTAACTCTTCTTTTTCCTTCATTGCCACTACTTTCACTAGATGAAGTTACTTCTTCACTACTTTCACTTTGTTCTACTCTTCTTCTTTGGTGTCGCTTTTGGTAACTTGCCCTCTGCTTCAAGTTGTTGCATCTTTGCCTCATGTTCACCTAGTATGTTGTAAATTTCCCATGTCCTTTTTGCCTTTGGGCTCTGGTCGCCCATCTCAGGTAACCTATATCCTAGAAAGATTTTGTCATAGTTTGTATTTGAGTCTTCGCGTATTGTTTGCATGACTCTTTCCTGAGTTTCCGGTTCAAGCTCTTCAAACAGAGCTTGTCCATATGGAATAAGCTCGTTTCCAAATATATGTTTTTGTAGCCATTCTGGTTTTCTTTCCATGTTACCAATAATATCTTTTGTGAATGGGAAAGCTTTTACCCAATGTTTCAGTCTTGCGTCATTTATTTCTGTAGTTGGTTTTTATTTTGTCAAGGAACATGTTTTTCAATACTAACATTTCATTTGGTACTGTCCATTTGAGTTTTCTTAAATATTCATCCATTCTCGATTCATTGTCTGCAAAGTAAGTTTTTATGACATTTTGCAAACTTTCGTTTGCAAGGTCATGTACAATAGGTTCTCTTCCTTCTCTCTCCCTAACTTTCTTTCTAAACTCTTCACCAAATATACCATCTCTATGGTTCTGTGTAGTTCTTTGAGATAAATGTTCTAGAACGTCAGGTGTTATATTTCCATCAGCCATGTTCATTTCATACTGGTCCAAAATATCTGCATGTTTCATATCTTTCAATGGCATTAAAGCCGCGCTGAAAATACCAGCTATATCTGGTTCACCATTCACTTCCATTGCATCTACAACTTCTTGGAATTGAGGTTGTAAGTTTATGAACCACCTATCCGGATTAGCTTTATGACCCCATCTCATTGTAGTTCCATAGTCTGCAGAAACAAAAGTAGGTTTGTTTCCATATTGGTTAGGTTCTGAATGAACTTTAAACAATGTTTCATTTCTATATGTTTTGTTGAAATTTAACCTTTTATTTTCACCGAGTTCAGCCAAAGATTGAACGTTATATGGTCGTAAGTAAAAAGGATTATTGTATTTGCGTACATTTTCTTTCAGTTCTTCCATTCTATGCTGAATATTTTCATCTGATGTTGGAGTCTTTTGTATGTCGGCGAACATTTTTCGATATTCTTCTACTATGTCAGCCGAATTTTTCTTAGACTCTTGGAAAGATTCCATATTCTCCGCATACTCTTGTTGAGGGTCAAGATTTTTCGGCTGTTCCAAATCTTCATCTAGTTCTGTGAAGTTAGTTTCCAAAGGAGGGACTTGTTCGTTTCCTTCAGGCTCTTCTAGCTCTTGTTGCTGAACTATTTCTTCCATGTCTGGTTGTATCTGAACTTCTTCCTGTGGAGTTTCTTGTACCTCATCTGGTGGCATTTCATATATTCCGAGACCGTTTTTAAAAAGTTCCCTATCTAAGTCATCCGGACTCATAAACCTTTCTTCTTTCGTTCCGTCTCTATTTTTTACGCGTTTCATGAAGAGAGTTGAATTATCATTTAGCTCTGACATCAAATATCTCGGAGTAAATTCATTCATGTCATTTGGATGATATGCTATTAAATCATATCCCTTAGCGAGCTTGTATTTTCCAGGTTTGAAATTATATCCCATTTGGTGCTGAGCCATAAAGCTAAATAGGTTCGGGTCAGTATTTCCTTCCTTGAACTTTCTAATAGCTTCTTTATATCTGTCACTAAAGTCAAGAGTATCTGGGTAACCATAATCTTCCTTAAGCATTTTTAAGAATTCTTGGTTTCCTTGTTCTCTACTTCTTTTATGTCCTTGCTCTGTTTGTGCTGGTTGTTGTGCTGGTTGTGGAGGTGGTTGTTGTGCTGGTTGTGGAGGTGGTTGTTGTGCTGGATTTTGAATTGTTGGTTGTTGTTGTTGTGCTGGATTTTGAACTGTTGGTTGTTGTGTTGGTTTTGGTGCATGCTTGTGTCTGTGTCCATGTGACGATGTAAATGTTTTAGGTAGTCCTGGTGCAGGTGCTTCTCTTGGAGGGTTTGGTGGTATATAAGTTCCACCAGCTGGCACATATGTTCCATCTGCAGCATAATGTCCTACCTGACTTTTCGTTTTTAAGAAAGCATTTACTAGGTCTGTTTTGGTCTGTTGTAACTCTTTTTCTTGACTTTCCACAACAGTTGCTCTAACGGCGTCATAGGCACTTTGAACTGCCTGTCTAGTTGCTGCATCTGTTATTTTCGTCATATTTTGTGCTACTTCTTTTAACTCTTTGTCGAAACCTTCAGACTTCAGTTTCTTTCCAGATGAGAAGTCGTTCACTAGTTTCACCTTACTATGAAGAGCTTCGAAGGCGTTCTTAAAGTCAGCATTCATTAAAGCTTCATTTGAACTGTCTTCATCCGCTTGTATTTTTGTCCTTATTGACCCTATAAGTTGGGCTGCTTTAGCGTTGGCTTGGGCATCTAACCAGTCATTATTAGCTTTTATAATATCTGCGCTTTTCATTGCCTTTTGCATGGCTGCGTCGTTATTTTTACTTTCTTGTGCTAAGTTTTCATACTGTACGGTTTGGTTTTGCAACTGTAAAAGTTTTTCTGCCTTTACATTTGCTTCAACTTCTTTTTTATACTCATCGCTATCCATATATGTCTTCAGGGCTTTTTGTTTTATCTCTTCATCTTTCAGTACTTTATATTGAGTAGTATGGTTTTTCAAATTTATAACATCTTGTTCCATTTTTGCTACTTCTGCTGCTTTTTCTGACACTTTTTTCGCATATTCCTCTGTACTTAGTTCTTTCAGTTGTTCTTCTTTCTTCTTTTTCTCTACGTTTAACTCATTGAGTTTCTTTGTGTGTCTGTCATATTCTAGTTTCTTTTCGTTTTCACTTATTTGTTTCTGTATGTCTATGTTTGACTTTTTGACATCTGTTATTTGATTTTTGAGTGAACTCAAATTCATTTGACTTTGAGGGTTATAAGCTGTTCCGTCTGCAGCTCCACCATAGCCTGCCATTTTCGCTAAAAGTGCCGCTCTTAAACCCCACTCTGTGCACCAATAACTCGGTTTAAAAGCATAGGGTTGCTTGACATTTGTTGCAGCATAGTGGGGTCATTCATCATTTGTTGTTGCAACTGTTGTTGTGGTGTCAGTTTTACTATTGGATGTTTCAATGCTCTCTTCCTCTTACGTATATTCTTACGTAGCTTACGTGGCATTTTAAGTGAAGTTAAAAAGCGGTTTTTGACAGATGTTTATATGACACTTTTTGTTCAGCACAAAAACTACTCGGTCAAAGTGTTGTCAGTTTTGTAAAATAACCGTCCTATCTCATTCTATAAGGGGGAAAAGGCTTCTCAAAGTATACTTCCTTGGAACGCCTGTAACTTTTCCTGTAGCGACGATAGACCCTTACTTGTCCGGACAAAGTTATACTATTTTGAGTGCTCTACAAAAAAGTCAACGGCGACGACTCTCAAAAACCGTTGTGTAAAAAGTTTTACCGTTGGACAAAAAAGTATATATAGAAAACAAAAAACGTTTATAGTTCATTCAATATTTGAGATGGAACGGTTTTCCAACGGTAACTATTAAATAAAATAAAAAATAGAGAGGGTTACCGTTGACGAAAACGGTTCATCTCAAACTCTTATTTGAAAAAAATAAAGTGGTCGGTTTTTTTCACTTCATTTTAGCTCAATGTCATACCAAGACAGTAGCGATTCCGATTCAACTATCCAGGAAGAGGATTGTCATCCTCCACGGTCACTCCCAGTCCCAGATGACACTCCAAAGACTCGCTTTGACCCCGAACAATCTAACTTCCAATTGCGCCAACAATTGCAGTCAAAAGCTGATGAATACATGGCTTCTTCTATAGAAGAAAGTATAGAACAGACCTCAGAGTATTCTACAGCTCTTGGTCAACTAGTTTCGGCGACAGTCCAATTCGAACAAATTTGTTCGAATTCAATTCAATATGCAGACGAACTTGTCCGCTATTGTCCCACTCTTGTAAGAGTACTTCAAGAACGACTCTTCAACCAGTTGCTTCCTACCTTACGCAGCCCAATTCAAATTCAATTTGCCCGTGCAGCCATAAACTTCACTCCGTACTCGTACAGCTATGACGAGGATGAACTAGCTGACGAGTACGGAGCCGAAAATGTTGGCTGGGTTTTTCGCACAACTCCTTGCGAATTCCAAGTTGAAATTGTCAACCATTTCCTCGTTCGTACTATTTCGTTACAGAATGAAGACAACGAAAAAGATGGAGTCATTCCAGGTGACCGTGTAAGAGTCATTTTCCAACGCAAAAGTGGACAAGAAATTGTATTCGAAGAATTGGTTTGCATATTCTTTAGCAATGGTCAAGACTACTGGGAAGGAAACTTGGTATTAGTCCCCGGTGAAACCATTTCTGTTTCATCGGATTTGAACCATCCATACAAGATATGGTTCAATTACGTTGCATATAACGCAGAAGACCCGAACTTTGACTCAGAATAAAAACTTCATTTATACTAAACATCTTCGGGGCTAGAGGGCACGAAGTGCCTGGAAGCCCCACTCACCTGACCTTTTTCTATGTTAAACATGAACGTAAAGACTTCATCGAAACTAAACGTAAACTCTATGTCAAACATGAACGTAAACTCTATGTTAAACATGAACGTAAACTCAGTTAGTATATATATCAAGGGTACGGCGACACTGCGTTCCACCTTACCCAAGATAACAGTTTGACACTTTACGAAACCGTTAACGTATATTTTACAACACAAACACAAACACCAACTTAACCTTAAATATTTATAAAGCCGCCAACCACTTCACCTCACTAACATTTTCGCTAACGATTTCACTAATGAAAAAATAAACGTTCTCACTAATGTAAAAAAATAAACGTTCTCACTTACAAAAGTATTGCAACTCCTCCCATTGCTGTGCTTCATATAACAGCTCATAATCTTCTGACTCACTTTCTTCTTCATATAGGTCAAAATCACTGTCATAGTTTATACCTGTAAGTTTTGACAAAGCTAATGAAACACGTTTACCGTTTGTATCATATGCTTGTATAAACTTTCCATTATGCTTGTAGTCATAAACGCTCAAACTAACTTTACCCTTTCTCCCTCGTATCTGATAGAATGTATTTTCACGAGGAACGAAGAACAAATTCTTGAACTCATGACCGTTGTAGTTTGTTATCTCAATAGTTTTCGTCATTTATATAAAAATAAAATAAAAAATAATTTTAAAAATTAATGATATCACCACCCTCACACGTATGAAAACATAGCACAAAAATAAATTTAGGTGAAGTGGTGAGATCTCACCTGTTTTTTCACCCTGTTGAATTCATTGCTTTATAACTCTCTTCCTTTATCCAACTCTTCTAACTTCTTCTTAAGTTCAGCAATGTTGTCCTCATGAAGTTTAATCTTTCTCAAAATTCCTTCTTTATCTAATGGTTGCTTTATCTTTCTAAACTGAACTCTACCATCCTTCATAGTATGAATGTAAAAACCTTCTGGAATAGTTCCTGATTTAATGTATTCTACCAAAAACTCTTGTTTCATTGCTTCAGTGACTTTATTTGTCATTTCAATCAAATAAAAATTTTAATATTAAATAAAAATAACGTTATTTTTTCAGTAAGGAAACGCAGGAGTTTTACGATTTATTTGAGGAGTAGGTTCTGGTTTAAATGTTGGAGTCGGTTTAGGAGTTGACTTTTGAACAGGAGTTTGTACTTCCATAGGTTCAGGAGTCATTGAAGGTTTTGCTTGTGAAGGTGTTGGAGTTTGTTTAACTTCAGCTACTTCAGTATTATTTACAACATTTGCTTTATTTCTTTTCAACATCATAACTGCTCCTGCTGTAGCTAGCAAACCTAGTGGGAGACCATATCTTATATAAGGACTTGACCAAATGCTATTTTTGACAGGAGCTGGTGGAACACCTAACCTTGGTGAGACTGCTCTTTGCCATTGTGCAGCTCGTAAGAAATATTCAATAGGTGCTCCATAATCGTTTGGTAAAGTTTGTTTCATAGATGGTGAAGGTTCACGAGAGCTTGATGAAGAACTCATTTATAAGCTTTAAAAATAAACGTTCATCCTTTATTCCTCACTATCGTCCGTAGCTAAGTTATAGTCATCTAATCTTATTATGGGGATGCCATTAGCACGCACCTGAATGGCAAAGCAACAATCCCTCATAAATCCAATAAGTGGCTTTGGTACATTTTCAGTTGCTAGTTCAATAGGTCCTTTAACAGACAATTTGTATGTTATTGGAGCAGTAGATGTTTGACCTTGCTGGAAGCAAAAGTCCACTTCTGTTGGAAAACCACATAAGAAATGTGTGTTGTCATAGCTATCCCATTTATGTTCCACACTACCATCATCCACCAATGACCTCATAACATCTTCATTAAATCCTATCATATCATTGTTTGTATTGCAAGCGTTCGCAACCATTTCATAAAATACAGGTCCATATGATTTTTCAGGTTCTGCAGGCATATTTCCATAAGCTCCCATGGAAAGCTGAAGATATTTAAACTTAGGGTTCTCAAAATTAACATAATAGTTGTCTTTCTTTCTAAATAGTGCCCAAATACTTTTAACATTAATAGGCGTATAAGCTGCTGTAAATGTTGCACTTGAACTATCTGTATTCTTTGAGAATGAACCGTCCATAGGAATCCAATCCATAACTTTAACAGGAAAACATAAAGCCTCGTTTGTATAATGTTCTACAAGTTCTGTATAAATGTTAGGGTCTAAAGAGAATGACTTTGGATGAATGAAACATTCATTAAAATCCATCTTTGTTCGAAATAGTTGCTGGGTTACAGTTGTAATAGTAACTGTTCCACTAGCTTCTACTGCCTTCGTTATCATAGTGAATGGTTCATTCCATGGAACAAATTTATTTGTCGGTGGATTTGAATCTGAAGCAAATGCAACTTTAAGAGTTGGATTGAAAGCAATGATATCATTTACAGATATAGATGTGCATTGTAAGGCGTCGCTACTGAACTTTACTTTAAGCTGAATGTTTCCTGCAAAAGCTGGAATAAATCGAATAGCTTCTAATGGAAGGAATCTTCTAACAGGAATTCTTAAACGAAGCTTAAAATCAAATGATTTTCCTGCTGTAATCGGCCACTAACAATTTGTCCTGTTCTGCATGTTCCCGAATGACTCCATACATCTTCATGTCGAGTCTTTGAGAAAACATCTACTTTCTTTATTTGTTCGGTAGTTTGTGAGTTTGAAGTTATATATGCTTCTTCTCTTGCGTTGTCTTGAGAATATACGATACGACCATTTGCAAGGATTTGATATCCAGCAACTGCATAGAAAGCGTCATCGAAACCAATCCAAAATCCTGGTGGGTTTGTTTTATCGGAACCTGAACCAATTTCTTTATCTACAATAAATTGACCTTCCATTTTATACGTAATGAATGTATTGTAAAGGTCCAACATATTTTCACCAGGAGGTGAGAGATTGAATGTTACCCATGTGTTATCTTTAGCAGTTCCAGGTTGTGATGGAATCTTTGCGTCAGAATATTTTCTATTAGTGTCACCAATTTGAACTGCATTGTCTATGATATCGAAATATGAGCGAATCTGATGAATATGCTCTGCTGGAGTAAATTCGTTTAACTGTTCGTTCTGCATGTATTTACTTCGGAGAAAAATATCTATTTACTTCATTATTCTCACTCTTCTTCTTGGCATTCGTGGTGGAAGTTGTTTCTTGACATTTTCAATGAACTGTACATTCTCTTTTGTCTCAACTTCTTTCACTGGCGGGTCAGGGTTCTTTGACTCGGTTTGTTTTTCAATGAAATTCACGAACTTTGCAATAAGCTCTTGGTTCGTTATTGAAAGTACATCTGGCTTCTTTTCTTCTTGTTCTATTGGTGGCTCAGTTTGAACAGAAGGTTTTATATGGGCTTCGTGGACTTCACCCTTGCCATACCTTAATGTTGTCGCTTTCTGCATTCGCTAATGGAACCTTTCTTTTTCTTACGTATATTTTACCATCTTTACTCTGACTTACGTAATAGAAAGGATGTTGTATTCCTCTTGCGTCATTTAATATAATAGACTCTCGCTCTGATTTTGACAAGCTCATTTTACATCGGTTAAAGTTTTAATTTTGTTTTTTATCTGCAGTCAAATGACTCAGACAAGCCCTACGGACAAGACCCAAGGGGTCATAGATGTTGAAGCATTGAAGAAAGAAATTCGTGAGCAAATTTTATCCGAACTGAAGGAACAAAAACAAGAACAAAAGCCAGAGAGACCAAAGAGAAAACTTAGTGAAAAACAACTTGCTGCATTAGCTGCTGGAAGACAAAAGAACCACATTTGCTGGCGAAGAAAGCTAGAGAAGAAGCTGAAGCAAAAGCTAAAGAAGCTGAAGCAAAGAAAGAGTAAATGGTTTATTTTTATCCGAATTAAATGTATAGACAAATACCTTTATCTGTTGCGTTCAGTAGTGAAAACCCTGACGTCAAAATAAAGGGGAACAGAGTAACGTTTAAGTTTCCAACAGACTGGATTGTGAACATAAATGAAGAGAAGTACATTGGCATAACATCTATGTATATAACACGTGCTTTCAGAAAGGTTGACTTTATACTTCAAGTCGAGATAGAAAATGACGAACAGTCTTTAAGCGCCCAAAACATTCACATATACAAATACTTTAAAGACGATACAACATTGTTGCAATGTATGATTTCATTTAATGAAATTCGAGAAAAAGTTTAACATTGAAGTACAAACTTTACAGCCTTTACGTGTGTTTCTTGCACAACTGAAAGAAGAAGGTAGTCAGCCACAACTTATAGACTTTCATTATGAATTTAATGAAAATGAAGATGGAACACATGACTTCAATTCATTGTATTCTCACCATTCAATGAAGTAGCTAAAAGAGAAAGAAAATCCATTACGTATAAGATTTCAAATCTCTGAACCAAGTGATGATTTCAAAATGTTTTCAATTATGATGCAATGCTTCCGAGGAAAAATGATTTTTCAAAGATTTCCAGGTATTTGGGATAAAAGCAAGCTATATTATATTCAAACTTAAGTAAGGGAGTTGAAAATGAGTTCATTGGTCATACAAGAATTCACCATTCCAAATCCTAAATACTATAAATTAACTGGCTTCAATCGTGAGTTTTGGATAGACATGTTCTCCACTCATGACCATAACTGCCCAGTGTTCTTACCTCCAGAATAAGACTGTCTCTACATTGAAGCACAACTCTTAAACTCTACCATCGCAGTATTGTAAAATCTACGCTAGTTTTATTTTTTCTGAAAATTTTATTTGAGTGAAAGGCATGGAAGGTGAAGGACATTGGCAAACACTCGAACATGACAATGACTATGAAATTAACACAGAATATCCACACAATATTAGGAAAAAATCTACAGGAAAAATTGTGAGTGAATGGATGAGCGATGG